TCCGTTGGAAAGGGAAAAAAAAAAAAGAATAAAATATTTTCCAATGTAAAAAATTTGTTGATAAACAACTTCCCTACAACTTCCCACCAAGTTTTTTGAAAAATGCTATATGTACCCGTCCACTTACCTGTTAGTATACACGCTGACGTGGAAAATGAAGGAAAAAAAAATTAAAAAACCAAAAAAGAAACCAAAAAGAGGGAAACCCAGTTTGCACCCACCAAATAACCGGGAAACCAAAATCAATTGAAACCTCTCTCTCCCCCCCAAAACTCTCTCCCACCGTGTAGCGCCCAAACCGCCGACCAACCCGAAGCCGCCTCCTCCACTCTGGCAGGTCACCGGAGATCTAAGAAGCTTCTCGCCGGCAAAATAAAAATCAAGCTTGAAGATCACATACCTTTGTAGAGATGACAAACAAAGGTATTTCCCATCCCTTGCATTTTGTAGTGTGAAAATGGGGGTATTATTATTTTTTGTCCTTCTTCTTTCCTTGGCAACGAAGCTGACTGAATGGGTTATTGAATTTAGATGCAATCTGGCAAATGAATATGAGTGAATAGTGCAAAAATAAGAGCCTTCTATACATTTATCAGTAGCATTTTGGTGAGAAAGTCTTAATGTCGTTTATAATTTACTTTTGAGCTATAATCTTGTAAGTTAATTGTCATGGAAAAGGGACTATTTCACGTGTTTCTAATTTGATTTTATGGATTAGTTTCTTGATTTTTCAGTTTGAAAATAAAGAAATTAATTTACTGGCAAAGGGATTTTGTGCTAAACTTCTTTTTATCTCCTGATTATTATATTCTCCTTGTGAAGCTCTGTTTTCAACTTGTGAAGCTATGCTTTCACAAGTTATACTTCCCCTTGTGAAGCCCTGCTTTCAACTTTCTAAATTTACCATAATTGGGTTCATCTAATCTTTCAAGTTTCAATCACAAACAATTTGTGTATCTACCATCTTCATGTTTAATGGTGCCTTTAACCTTAATTTCTTTTGGAAATTTTGTGTGTGAAGTGCAAGTAACAGTGCTTTGTGTAATGGTTATGATAGATAGAGTAGTTGGACCCACATTGTTGATACAGTCTATTAGTAGTTTATCTCTACCATGTTC